TTGATGCTGCTGTGTTTCGTATTCTGTATTTCATTTCGCGTTCGGAGTGTAGAGAACCGGCTACCCGTTTTACTGGAATCGAGGCATTCCATCTTAGTCGTCATGGGTGACAACGCATCTGCATTTTGATTCTTATTTGAGGTTAAATATAGATGTCATTGCACAGCATCCACTTACCATCAGGTGGACTGTGTGATCGTTTGGTTTCACCCTTATTCTATAAAAAAGTACACAGTAGAGCACCGCGGTAGATTCTACCTCACTTCAAGAAAACTCAGTTGGAATTGGAAACGTAAAGACGCACGTACCACATCTGGGAATTTACTTTACTTTTTAACTAAATGTCATTATTTTCTGGTATCTGTATGCATGTTTCTATGTATGTTTATTTGTAGCACCCTCTGCAGCCTTTAAACGTGTTCACGGATTTTTAGCATAATTTGAGGATTCTTTAAATTCCTCTTAATTGTAGCAGTGACAAAGATTCTAAATTTAAATATGGCGCCTGCAAATAAAAAAGAGAAGTGAAATATAAAAATATATTTTGTTATTATGGACAGGGCTATTTTGCAATAACCGGCCGAATTTGCAGAGAAGGTCCAGAATAAGTAATATAGGCAAATGGTCAATAAAAATTAATTTAAAAAAAATAACATTCTGTCCTTTTTATAAGGTGCGTGAGGGTAATATGGTCATCTCGCTCTATAAAACCAAAACTAAGAGGAGGACAGAGACAAAAATACAGAGTCAAAAAGAAAAAAAAAAGGCAAACAAGCTTTGGCAATAATTAGGAACACTTCGAAAAATCAACCTAAACAAAACAAACGACACTACACAATACTAAAATCGATTAAAATATTTACTATAATGTCAACAGTCAAAATGGCGTCGATGAAGCAGCGCACTTTTGATCCTTTCACGTTTGATTGATTGATGAAGAGCTATTGTTTCAAGTCTTCTATGCAAATAAGGTCGTAATTTTTGAGTTATAAGAAAGTGACCGGAAGAACATATTACTCTCACCTACTATATTTTAAATTCAAAATGCGTGGTGACGCATTATTTTACTGGTTTTACTGCGCACACGTAGAACGTACATTCGTAATGGTCGATCGGTAGACAAAAACGTTGTTACCCATAAATCACATACAATTTGGGATATTCCAAATAAAAGTAAAACCTTTATTTACCAGTATCTTCAAAAACTGCAATAATGGTATATCATTATACATTTGAACTTAAGTTTAAATTTTGGCTACTCTTCGAAAAATAACTATACATGGTGTTAGAGTAAACACTGTTGTCCTTGAAACCAGTGGTTTGGTTTTACTTATAGAACGTAAATTCAATGAAAAATAACAACTTTTTTTAATAAAATCTCAATTTTTCCTTAATTTCTCAATTTTTGCTTGCCCTAAGCCAGGATGAAAGTATGAAGGAAAAGTTACATCGCAGGTTATGTGTACCTATTGTATTTTTATGTTGAATGTTATGTAGGTAGCTAGAGCGGGCGGTGGTCTTTACAGTGATTACGTCATTCGGGCGCATAGGATGTCCATGAATTTACGGATGGTGTGGGACAGAAACTTTTTAAATTTTGTGAAAGAAAATAGCGTTTTTTTTAAATTCATTGAATTTACGTTTTATAAGTGAAACCAAACCACTGGTTTCAAGGACAACGGTGTTTACACTAACACCCTGTATATATCGATCGTGCATATGGTTAACGACAACAGAGGGAAACAAATCAGAAGATGGGCAACGGTGTTTTCCTAATAACGACTAAATCCCTCTTTTGAAGCTATCTATGGGAGACGCCTATTTTCAGCAGTGGACTTTATAACGCTGTAACGGTAAGGGATCATAGGGTCATGCTCAAACGAAAGCTAGTTAATAGCCAATTATAAAAATAATAAAGGTATTAGATTTTATTAGCTACGTTTAGTTCCTTATTTTTAGTAACTAGATTTATTCTCTTAAATGTAAGCTACTTCAATACACTAGTTTGTACATAAATAAAGTTGAAGCTCTTTAAAATAAATTGACTGTGCGGTCGATTACCGTAACTTATTAATATTAATAAGTAGGTGTATACATACATACAGGGTAGAACAGGTTCAAAAACCATCTAGCTATTCGGAACACATTTAGCAAAAAAAAGTGGGTGTAATGTTGAAGCAAGTATATAGTCCATTGCCTACAGATGGATAGCCCATCAGACCCGTGGTGCAGCTATATAAGTTGTGGCATAAATGGGTCGTCTCGACCGAGGAAGGACCACGCTCTCACATAATATGTTTATTTTTTTTTATAGTATGAGGGTTACAAAGAGCACACAGTCCACCTGATGGTAAGCGGATGCTGTGGCCCATATACATCTACATTTATCCTCGATTAAGAATAAAAGCACAGATGCGTTGTCACCTCTGATGACTAAGATTGAATGCAACGTTTCCGGTAAAAAAGGGTCTCTGAGTCTCTACACTCACCATACGGAACACAGCAGCATTAAGCTGCTATTTACGCTGGTATTCTGTGAGAGCGTATTTCTTCCTCGGTCAAACCCACCAATTCGTGCTACAACCATAATATAGCTGCAGCGTGGCTCTACCACGTATAAAATAGTTCCATTTTTTCTTTTCAATTTATTCAAACAACTTATCACAAGAACGTGTGATTTTACTACATAACGTACAAATCATAAAATATAAAATAAAAACCAAACCCCATGTCCTACAAAAATATGATTTTTTGACAGTAACAAATGATTAAATCTTCAAAGTAAGATATATTTGAACTTTGTTAACGCCGGAACCAAGCTTGTATGGAATCAAGTTAATCTCTTTTTTTTCCCTTATATGCGCGGCACCTATCTTGAGTAGTTAATTCACGAATTGGGCCCCTTCTACATATAGTTGGCTAGCGGAACAACGTGCTTATCTTTGTCATCGCTACAAACCGCGATCGGGAACACGACCCTGCGAGAAAACGAAAATAACATTTGGCGATTTGGGTTACCAAAGAGACAGTAGCCGAAACTAACCTCTTTAAACAATAGCTAATAGCTCAAAGCTAATAGCTCTTAGAAGACTCACATGTTTATTATTTATTAAAAAAAAATAACTTTAAAACATACTTTTATATTAAAACTATAATTACAACTAAGTATTATGTGGGCGCAAAATCCGAATAGAACATAAATTATGCTTGATATATAACATGTTGTATCACATGTTAAATATTAGAAAAAAATATTTGTTTTTAAACAAAAGGAGAGAATATATATATATATATTTTTTTTATTAAATGTATATTGTTTAGGTGAGATGGAACTTTGGCTTCATTGTGAATTTTTCTCGGTGTATTTATTGTAATGTGACGAAAGATAAGATGACGCATTTGTCCAGGCGTTCATCTCACGTTGTACTGTTGATTAGTTGCGACTGGTCTGCGCTTTGATTGGCATCCGTCCGCCGAGATCGCGACACTATGCCCACAGGATGCCAGAGGTCATAAACATTACGTTACGGGAGTATGTCAAGTCATAATGTCCGTAACATCGATCACTAATAAAAAAGATCGATGGTCCGTAATCTAATTTATATCTAACTTAATTTAAATTTGAATAGAAGTTAAAGTTAATTGCCAATATAGATTTAACTTGTGCAAGAAACGAACATTCTTTACAATATGCGTGTTAAATTTTCAAAAAGTACTTATTTTAAGGTTTCGAAAAAATTATTTCTATAGTTGATTACCGGTAGTAAAAAAAAGATGCTGGCAAAGTAGTAAAATTATGTCATATATCAAACATCAACGAGTTTAGAACCCCTGCGGTCGTAACTTTGCTCTGGGTTACTCGATTCACTCTATTCACTTTGACTCTAATGTCAAACACGTATAACTCGTGGAGAAACCAAATCTACAACCTCCCACAGATGTTACGGTCCTGTGGTACCAATTGTTAGTGTTACAACATTATTCATTTGTTTTGTTTAAAAAACTATTTGTGAAAAATAAAAGAGAACCGAGACAGTGTTGTGAGACATTTACTTCAATTTGTTGCTTAATTCGACTAATGTTTTGGTAAATATTTTTGAAAGGTGAAGGAAGTGATACGATTTTACCGCGAGATCTTATGGTAGTGTGCTTCTATTTGCCTCAAAATCTCACGTCAATCAGAGCCAAGAGATTACTCAATACTAAAGCAAAAAAAAAAAACATTTCAAATAGTATGTATATATCATAATATAAACATTTATAAATTATTTATAAATTTACATATAAACGTTCCTAATGATCTGTTTAATATACTGTTATTAATTGGTCATCAAAGGATTAAACATAATTAACCGTTCCCCTCCTATTACTCTGTCTTGCACCGCCTACGGCCTTCAATTACAATACTCGCAGCAAGTAAGTAAGTGCATAATTGTTTTTGACTTACAAATAATACACTTTTGTCAATTAGTTAAGTGTGTTTTTGTCCTTTAGTTTGATGTTTAGTTAAATTTATTTAGTTAAGTTAGAATAAAACGATATAATAGACTTTCGCAACTACCTCCAATTTTTTTTTATTAATTTCGTTTACAAAATTTTTATTTTCTCAATTCAAGGCGTATGAGATGCTGATGCATTATCTTTATCAACTAGTAAAATTCCCATGCTGGATATTATGGAGTTTGTAAGGAGGATTAACTTTAATAGCCACCTGCTGCTGCGAGACGTTACGACAACCACAGGACGAAAAGTAGGCGGTGATAAGGCACCATATGTTATTTTCACTAAATTTTGCTGGGCTTGGCTTTTATATATTCAAAATCAGTGTTTGAAACCATTATACGTTCAGATTTGTTGAACTATATTTAAATGAAATGCAATCACTTTTTATTCGGAACGCTATAAGTATATTAATTTCCTTAAATTTTTATCATCGCTACCAAATTGTGGTTAAAATTATAATAAGCCAAAAATATAGTACACATATCATTTCAGATTTTATGAAAAGGAAAAAGAAAAACATTTCGAGTAAAATCACTTCTGCGGTGCCTAAGAACTATAGTTATGTGTACAAATACTATATCAGTAGGTACACAACGAGAATAGAACTTAAGGTATGTATATAAACACGTACGCTTTAACTTAATATTATGGTACATATAATTAGGAAAAATAAATGATTTAACATAACGAAGAAATTGCTTAACTTATCTGCACTACTATTAGTACTTATTTAATTATTTAACGTATAATTCCCTTACTACTGTTAGAAATTCCAGTATCATTCTCTCTTTGGGGCAACTTCACTACTCTTCAAACATAAGACAAATTATGTTAGCCATAATAATTTAAATATCATAACATTGAAAGATTTTTTTTAAATTTAAAATATTCCGACGAATAATTTTTTATTCATTCGATTTTCAGATGGTAAGCCAAAGTAAAACCCTACGAATTTATGATATTCGGCATTCAGTACCGCGAATGTGTAAATGGGTCACTTTACAGGAATGACAAAAAACTGATATAATTTTAATGTATGCTTTACTATTTGTTCGAATGTGGTTTTTAAGCATTAATACTATCAATTTAAGGTGCCAACTTCTTAACTCATAACTGTACAACTTAAATTAATATATTTTATAATAATGCATATTAGCGGTATTTACCTAACAGTCTTGGTCAAATGTTTAACATTCGCGGTATTTGCAAAGATATTTGCACATTTTATAATGGCATTCGATAACATTAAATTCTTTAAAACAGTTGTAGTGAAATGTATTTATATACTTAGTAAAAAAATACTACAGTCCCTGGACTAGTGGCAACATATGCCTAAGTTATAAAGTATGTATTACTCTTATTACGTATATAATTATTACCAACGTTATAGTAAGGAGTTCAGAAAATTTACGGTTTTCAAAATTGTCAAAGTAACGTAATCAAAGTAAGTAGACACTCTTTTATAAAAAAAAATAATAAATAAATGTAGCATATACTAGATAAATAGAATATATAAGAGTATAAAAGAATCTAAGCAAGGTCATGTCAAAAATTCATGTAGAAATTAGCACATTATTAACCTAAACGGGGAAAGTTGCCATAAAATGCTAGGCATTCTTAGAGCAGTAACTGTTTTCACTCTACTTATGCATCCCAGTATTCCCGAAACTGCACCGGAGACCATCACAATTCAAGCGTAAGCGCGATTATAGATTGCTGAATTGCGTCTGGAAGACGGGTGGTCAAAAATATCCTGAGTCAATTTCGAAACTTGACTCTCTTGTAAATATTTGTATTTTTGTTTTAATATTTGTGATATTGATAATTCATGGGTCAGTTTAAATTATATTAAATAAAACTTTGATATCAGTAATTAATGTGCCTCATCTTTGAGATGGTCTTATCGCAGAAAGTGAAAATCTTCTGCTTATAAGGAAATAGCTTGCTTCTTGTTTTTCTAGCCACACTAGCATATTCAATTGGCAAATATTTTTCTAAGTTTTTTTTAATCTGCGTTCAATGCAGCTATATGAAAAGATACACTGCATGTATGTTGTCTTATAGTAAATACTTTTAGTAGATCACAACATTCTTTTGAACAGCCAACTCGTGTGAGACATTTGAGACTACTGCATTTCAATTCTGGTATATGCACCTATCAGATATTACTATTGATTTTTCTGTTACATAAACAGATAAAATTTCTATTAGACAATTGGCAAATGTTGAAGCCGATAAGTCCGTATCGGTTTCAGTGAACCAATAGCATCTCAATTTATGACCCGATCAGCGTAACAATTTCTTACATACGTAACATTTTATGTAGTACTTCTTGTAGTATATACTGCTAGTATTTAATTTTGGAGATGATTTAACAGATCAACTGTGAAGACGTTACAATCCCCACTGATTGCGTCTAGTTTATCGTTAGTTTTAGCACCCCTAACCTGATCTTTTTCTAATGTATAGGTATCGTAAGCCGACTTCACAATGTTTTGAACATTGTATTGACTACATGTGTAAAAATCATCTTTTTTGGATGAAATGTCCTTACATTAATTTTTTAAATTCTTTTTTAAAGGTTCTTTTGTTTGCTATACTTCTCTTTCGTGTTGGTGATATAATTTCCATAACCAGGAGAATTGGAGAACCCGAGACGAAATATTCACGGTGTGATGAATCCGGTAAGTTTTCTTTTTCAGAACACGATGTAAAATATTAGTCGAGCTAATTTTCACGACAGCCTTGAAGTATCAACAGTTGACACAGGTTTTAACATAGATAATAATTTACGGTTATAGAGTTTTTTAGCTCGCGTCGTATCTAACAAGGGCTTGCCCCCATATACCTCATTAATTCTTCGTCTGAAGAAGGAGATTCCTTCATGACCGCGATGATTCTATAACAAATAATATTTTTAATTAAATACTTGAATAATAAAGTGATGCCGAAATATATAAAACAAACCCGTCAAATAATGACTCTTGAACAGTCTTTTTATTCTCTAAATGGTGAAGCAGTAACAGATTTAACTTTTGCATTTATAAAATTTGCAGCAAAGTTATGATAAACTGGCATACAGCCTGAAATCTACCAAAATTTAAGCAAAATTCAAACTTAAACTAAATATTCGAAAGATTCTAAATATACATAGGTGAAAACCGCGAACGTTACGGTTACATATAGAAAACTGACAAATCAAATCCGCAATTGTGACATCAAATATTAAAACTGAAGTTTAAGGAATTATAATTGAAATGTGGTTGAAACATTTCAATTATAATAACTTTGTTTTATGTCAATATACATACTTTATGGTTAATACTGTTTCAATCAAAAGTTATATAATTAATTTATTAAAACTTACCTGCCAAAACGTGGCACGTAACTTACTCATTCACTTTTTATGGCGGCAATATTGAATTCTCGATAATGCGGAACCGAGTGAGGTAGTTATATTCGGTAGTTATAATAATACCCTTATCGTATTTTCTCTATTTTGGATAACTTTTCGGATACACAATCGCGTGTTTAATTGAATACTATCAAATAAACAAAAAATAACAATTTCCAATATATTCACATTTGCGGTACTGAATGTCGAACGACGATTTGTACTTGCCAGAACATACATTACATACATTAACTCAGAGTACTTATCTACCTATAATTATAAGTAAGTAATCAAAATAAAACAAAAAATGCGCCTGCATTTTGTATGATGTATGCAACAAGTCCTTAATATTGATAATAATTTTGTTATAAAACTTTTCTTTATCTTTCTTTTTTTCTTGTTAAAAAGGTTACCTCTTAATAACGATTATATTGTAATATCATACTATATAATTGATAGTTCTGTTTTTGGTATATCGTCGTAATCTTTACGAAATAGTAAATGGTCGGGTAGCAGTAATACATGGTGATCCTGTTTGGATAACGGGACAAATAATTATATTTATAACCGACTTCAAAAAAAGGAGGATAAACATCAACCAGTACTCAATTTGACTCAATTTTTTATACGTGATACCGCAGAACTTTTTTCTAAATGAACCGATTTTAATGATTCATTTCTTATTTGAAAGCTGATGCTTCCCATGTGATTTGTGATTTAATAATGCGTAGTTTATTGACTTCGACTATAATGATGATGTTCTCATTTTATTTATATTGAAGTGGGCTGTACATTTTTTTCAGCGCGTGTTTTTTATCTAGCTATTAGGGTTTAGCCGGCTACAACCAGGTGGCTGCCGATTGCGGCGAAAGCACCTATCGAGTAGTATCAAAAAATAGGTTGAAAACAACAGCTTTCGAGTGAATCCCTTTACAGAAGGATTTGAATCGAAACAAGGGAAGGGTTGCTCTCCACGGCATTATCTAATTATCATATAACTTTTTCCTTCACCCTCTCACACATCAGTATAGTAGAAATGCTTCTGGATATGTAATTAATAAAAAAGTATTGTTTTTTCTCAAGAATCATCACAGATAGGAGGCTCACATAAGAGATGGTTGTAGTGAAACGAAGACTGTTCTACGGGCGACTACATTTCATATATCTTCCTCTTAATACTACACTCAGCGTCACAAAAATCGCACCTCTCTGAGTTTGCGCGAAAAATGGCTGTAATGGCTAGAAACAAATTATATTTATATAAATATGGGTATGTTTGAAATGGGTATTTGAATAGCTTTACATTATTATTAAAAAAATCATGAAATCATTAAAACATTTATCATTATAGAGCGTCAAAAATAAACACTGTCAAATGCTTGTTAGTAAGGACGCTAGTTACACCACCTAAAAAGGGTATTAAAAGGTCGATCTTAATGAAATTTGGGTCAGTCGTAATTTAGACTTTGCAGTGAACACACGTGAACAAGTAACCCAAGTAAGAACAAGTATAGATGGACACCAGCTCTAAAGAAGCCGCTAAAGTGATTGCCCTATTGCAGTCGGGGATGCGGCAGTGTGACGTTGCTCGACACTTGAACTTGAGCAGACTGGTGGTTCATCAGAAAGAGATGACCGTTTCATCGTTACGACATCTTTACGAAACTGTTTTACAAATGCTGTTGAGTTGCAACAACAGCTTCGATCAACTCGGAGAACATCTGTGAGTGTTTCTACGATAAGAAGAAGGTTACACGAAAAGAGTTTAACAGCCCATAGACCTGCTAAAGGTCCAAATCTTACTGTACAGCATCGCAGAGATCGCCTAGAGTTTGCTCGCAATCATTGCGAGTGGACTCTAGAACAGTGGCGGACCGTACTCTTCTCTGATGAGACGAGGGTCTGTCTCTTCTACAATGACAGTCGTAGAAGGGTCTACAGAAGGCAGGAGGAGAGGTTCACATAACCCTGCTTCGAAGAATCCGTCGAATACGGGGGTGGCTCGTGTATGTTTTGGGGCGGCATTTCAGTCGACGGGAAAACGGAACTTGTGTGCGTTTCCCGGACTCGGGGTTTCCGTGGGCAAGGGTCATTAAATGCTGGTCGGTACATTACTGAAATCCTGGAGGAACATGTGGTCCCGTATGCTGGTTATGTCGGTGATGGATTCATGTTAATGCATCATAATGCTCGTTGCCACACCGCGGCTATTGTACGGGATTATTTACAGGAGGTCGATATCCCTGTTATGCATTGGCCAGCACGAAGTCCAGACCTTAACCCAATAGAACATCTCTGCGATGACCTAAAATGGCGCGTGCGAGCTCGAGATCCAGCTCCAACCACTCTTCAAGAGCTCCAAGATGCGGTACTTGAAGAGTGGAAACAAATACCCCAAGAGGCTGTTGCGACCCTTGTAAGGTCCATGAAAGATGGCATGGAAGCCGTTATCAAGGCAAGGGGGGGGGGTAACACTAGGTTTTAAGAACTTTTTGTATTTATTAAGTTTTTTTTTAAATTATTAATTTGCAAATTTGTCTTTTTCTTTAATTTCTCTTTCGTCTCGTTATAAAAGTATAATTCAATTAAAATTCCTGAAAGCTAATGAAATTACCTTTCGAATGATACCCTCAAACAACATTGCCATTGGCCTGTTGTGTTAAAATAGTATTTAAATTATTTTTTTCGGATGTGCGATTTTTTGACGCCGAGTGTATATTTTATAGTATTAGGTGACCAACGACCACACAGTTTACCTGATAGTAAATTTCTGATGATAAGAGAATACTGTAGCTCATAGACATCCACATTTATCCTAAATTAAGGATCAAAATGAACATGCGTTATCACCCCTGAGGACTAAAATTGAATGCCTCGAGTCCAGTAAAAAAGTTCTTCGGTACTCTATACTCACGATACGAAACAGCAGCTTTACGCTGCTATTTTACGCTGGTATTCTGTGAGAGCGTGGTCCTGCTCGGATCGAGCCAACCCATTCGTGCTACAACTATAATACATAAGCATAACATAGCATAATACATAGCTGCAGCGTGGCTCTACCACGTAAATATTGTAAAATACTTTTATTTATTTCCATTTATTTTGTATTAAGTATTTAAAAAAAACTTAAGCTAAAATATTGGTAATATGAACTACAATCTCAACTACATACCTTACTTTGTACCTAATTGTTAACTGAGTTGAGCTGCAATTAATTAGCTATTAATTGAATGTGAAGATGTAATTGAAATATATTTTCAAAAATTAACACTTATACGTATTTGCAGGCCAAAACTGTGAAAAAACTTCAATGTCAAGTAGCCGCTAACGCCGTTTAGACGAATTGCAGAAAAATGGAGGTGAAACGGAAAAACCGCGGCACATTCAGGATGGACCCCGTACCGGAAAAAACACCTTTTAGAACCAAAAGCAGGTAAGACTTTATGTTGTATTTAGTGTGGTTGTCTTTAGATTTTTAAATTTATCATATTTTGTAAATTACGGCCATATCACTAAATACTATTCGAAAATATTAAGTAATAGTCTATTTCTTCGGCTCAGTTTCGGTCAGTTCGATCCAGATCTCTTTGACCCAGTATTGTTGTCGTTCATCACTATTGGCCATCACTGCCGGTCACATATCGCCACAATATTGACTCTCCTACTGGATATGAATTTATACCTACCATATATAAAACGTATATGGGTGTTTACACGTGGTCAGCTTACGAACAACGCAACGGTAGGTGGGGTAATAAATATTTTTTGGAACTAACACAGCGACACAGAGTTAGTTAGGACTTATAAACTAAACGAGATTAGGCATTTTTTCCTGTATTATAAAATGTTTGCGTCACTATCGTAGTGATGGTCGATGTGCTCTTGATTTATTTAGGGATGTCAAGCCCTATCATTCCCTAATTTTACTGACACAGTTGCAAAGAATATTATACAGATAGATAGCTGAAGAACTAGAATTATTGGTACTTCTTAATAATTCAAATTAAACAAAAACAGAATCCAACAGGGGCCTTGCTAAACAGTTATACAAACCTCTAAACGTAAACAGGCGTAGCGTACTTATAACTTAAAATTTTGCATCAATGGTTCAATTTATCTCTCGAATTATGATATCGACCTTGACGTCAATAGCCGAAAACTACTCGAATGGTCAATTCAAATAGTTATAGAAAAATAAAACACCGACTGTTTAATATTATATTTTTATTAATTTTCAGTAAAGCTTGTACGATCTAACCGACATTTTTTAAATATAATACCAAGGTTAAATTAGTTTAAATCGTATTTGTAGTCTCGATATGCTATGTGGAGACTTCCGACTACAACTTGTTCGTGACATCGACGTTGCAATGTCGTGTTACAATGATGCGTTGCATCATCGATGGTAAAACATCGATATTTTATCTCTTAATGTCGATGATAATAGAAGATTGTTAATTATTGATAATTATTACAAAGTTACGAGACATTTTTTTTTTGTAAATTTATAATGACAAATGAATTGCAGTCCATCTGATGGTAATTGGCTACTGCAGTCGAAGGGTACTTTCAGGCTGCCTATAATTATACCAGCTCTCTATATCCTTCAGACGGAACACACCAATGCAGGACACTGCTATTTAGCAGCAGAAATCAGTAACAGGGTTGCTTTACCCTACCTTGACCCTTAAAGGAGTTCTAACAACTTAGTGGATTACATAGTTATTAGTCCGCTGTGCTATATGCCTAGCTCCGAGCTAACTAGTTACTAAAAGCTACTAAAAAGCTCAACCGATGATATCATACACGTGAAAAATGAGTGCTTTGCATTAGAATAAAACTTATTTAGTATTAAATTATTTAAAAAAGTATTAAAATATTAGAAATTGCAATAATAGGTATTATATATTGTAATAATAAGTTTTTTACGGGTTTTCGGGGACGATGTCAGTTTTCTCCCTTGAGTATTGTGTAATGCGTCGTTTCCAGTGAAAAGGTCCCGGTTCTCTAAACTCACCATAAGAAATACAGCAGCATGAAGTTGCTATTTCATGCTGTTATTCTGTGAGAGTTCTTCCCCAGTTTTGCTACATCTACGAATATAGGTAATATAGCAGCAGCATTTCTCTAGCACGCATGAAAATTTGTTAGTGTAATACATAACCGACACAAACACTACATAAGTGATTTAAACAGAAATAACTTACCTCAAATAAATGAATAATAACAGCCATTCTATGTGACGTTTACTTAATTGTACACAGAACGAAGCACAAACTGAGAGCATCTAACTCTCAATGAAAATATTTTTGTTTGAGGTACATTTATATCCAACATTATCACTGTTTGTTACCATTGTTGTCAATTTACAAAATATCAACGTTAATCTTGGTATTAAGTGAAATATTGTGGAATAGACTTGATGTTATTTTTCAACGGTTAAATATTTTTTACATATTAATAAAATATTATTTACAGGGTATGCATAAGCTCACTTTATTTGCTAGCCCGAGTCTATATGTATAATTCATGCTTTCAACAATTTAAAATCGTTGAATAGTTTTTTTTTTGTAATATTACAATGAAGAATAGTAGAACTATCAATAGTTATTATCAATAGTTATTACTGCAGCCATACTATGGACTCCTGCAATTAACTTCAAACAAACAACACAGATGCGTTGTCACTAGGCTTGCCAATCTTAGTACACATAATTGGGGGGAAACTTGTTATCAAAATGTGGGACGTGGCTTAGAAAAGCGGGGTCGAGCTGTAAAAGTAATTTTAGAGCAAAGTAAAACACATTTGAGTATTTTTTATTTTTTGACTTTCATTTAAATATGTGAAACAAAAAACGCATACACTTTTGTCCGACATTAAGTCATTTTCATTTCATACATAACTATTGCAGGACCTACCCGCTAAGGCTCTAGAATCGAAACGTTCCTACTATTACGGGACGGTTGGTAAACCTATTTGTTACCCCTGATACTTAGATTGAATAACTCACAACCTGTAATGTACTATACCTCTTTAAACCTCAACATAACATTGGATGCTTAGATGCAAAAATAGAAGAGAGACTATGAAGAGATACAAATGATATGATATTGATAATAGTATCGTCATATTATTGGTGTCGTAAGAAGCCACAGAAGAAAACTGAAAAAGAAAACTCCTTTTCAGTTTTCTGGCGGCAATGGTATGTTCGCGATGAATCATAATAATCATACTTTGCCGTGAGCTGACGAAAAAGGAGAACCCATCACTCCATTTCATCCTGTGGGTATTAAAAAGAGGTGCCTATAGTGTAGGTACGCAATAACCATCTCGTTTATGTCAGGTGAAAAGTACTCAGGCCAACAACAGGCAGCAGCGTCGACGGTACGTTTAGTATTGTGGCCGATGAAGGAAAAGGGGAGATCTCCCACCGGGCAAAGTGTTCTGCCCGGGGAGCGGCCAACACTCCGTGTGATAGTTCGGAGATGTTCTATATATACTGTTTATGATTCGGAATGTTGATAGCGTGATTTAGGCTTCGGTGTATTTCGCTTGTGGCGCGACGACAGCGCCGCCACATCACCTCCCTGCTCAGACCGGAGGTCGGTAGTGCAGTTGAGTTGTCGACGAATGTGCAAGTTGCCAGGAGATTGCCTTGTAGTCTGCGGTGAGTCGAGAATAAGGCAAGTAATCTGCGAGAGTGCCGTGAAGCAGAGGCGAGCAGTAAGGCTCAGAGCCGTGCAGAACACTGTAGCGCAGAGTGTAGCTTGAAGGAACAGGAAGCATTATTATTCCAGTGCTGCGATGAACCTTGTGAAGCTAGATGGCTTGCAGGATATGAAGACTGCAGACGACATCTGCTCGGGAGCGAATGGGTGGGGTATTCTATGACGATGATGAAGCTTGAAGTTTCCAAAGGTTGTTGGTTGCGTGTTCAGATCACGTCGGGGTCACCACTGTGGCCGATGAAGGAAAAGGGGAGATCTCCCACCGGGCAAAGTGTTCTGCCCGGGGAGCGGCCAACACTCCGTGTGATAGTTCGGAGATGTTCTATATATACTGTTTATGATTTGGAATGTTGATAGCGTGATTTAGGCTTCGGTGTATTTCGCTTGTGGCGCGACGACAGCGCCGCCACAGTAAGGGGCTCCCCCCCCTAAAGCCCAAAAGGTATAATACGCGAGCACCGGGTTCGGATGAAATTGTTAATTGCAAATTTAAGTGCTGATTTACCACGTGCTACGCGGTGAAGTAAATCATCGTGAGGAAACCAGCATGGCTGAGAAATAAGAAATAAATATATATTTCGAAGACATGCGAAGTTCGCCAACACGCATTGGGGCACCGCGGCGGACAATTCCTTGCTCTATAACCCTCTCAGAAATGGGCGGGAGGCCTGTACCCAGCAGTGGGACGTATATAGGCTGTAACTTAACATCAAACACTTCTAATGCCAGTACGAGGCTGGCACTCGAGAACCTTTTTTCCTGTCGGTCGTCAGTTCTTCAAGTATATTGGCGATCAGTTGCTACTACAGGCTACTGGTCCGTTAAAAACCGTATCAAATACAAAATTACACAATAATAGTCAGTATTATTGTATTCTAGTCAGGTCCACACTAAACGATCGTTAAGGTAAACTCAATTGTCTAAATTAGCCAATGTTTTTAACAAGAGTCAGATTAGCGTCTGATATTAGCGGCTTACTCTCTGATTATTCCGGGCAATATCACGATGAACCACTAAAATTAAACAAACCCTTGCTGCGATTAGGTTAATGAAAACAAAAAATATTGCCGGTTCGGGATTTGCTAAATTGACGTCAGCCAAAATGACGATAGTAGGCCGCTGGAAAAAAGAATTAATTAGTTGATTGAGCAAAGTTTGTTACTTTAGTAAAAAAGCTGAAGAGATTATTTGTCGAAAATAGCCTTAATTAACAAAACATTTTTTATCATCTACTGTGTACAGTGAAGTAAAATTACAGCCTATATGCGTCCACGGCTGGACACAGGCTTTTTTCATTTCCGGGAGGGTTATGTTACATAAATACATATTTTATATAACTTGTGAGACATTCCATCTTAGTCCTTAGATGTGACGATGTGATGCATGTGTGCCCTTGGTTGTATGAAGTTGGCCGCGGGTGTTACGCACAAAATACGTTACGACCCATGACTAGCCACGAAGACGACACTGAAAGTTTTTAGAACTGGCCACTTGTAAACGATATAATAAAAAATAATTGAAATTGAAAATGGAACCCTTTGCTACTATTATTGTGTATAAACCTATTTTATTAATTTGTCATTTGTATACGATTTGGGGGCAAATTGAAAATTGTCTGTGTCCCGTCAGCATGGGTCAATCGCCCCGCCTCGGTATAGCCCCGACCTCGCGATTTCTATATATTTCCTAAAATAAAAGAAAAACTTCGAGGAAAATGTTTCATGGATGCCTAGGAAGCAGTAGCTGCGTTTCAAAATTCGACGGCAGAGACCCCTAAGGACGAGTGAGCAATGTGCTTTTCTCAGTGGTTCCATCGGATGCAGCAATGTATTAGTCTAAATGGACACTATTTTGAAAAGATATAATAAAAGTAATAACTTGCCAGTGTGTTCAGTTTTTGATTTTCTAAAAACTTTCAGTGTCCCCTCGTATTTGACGCTGGTATTCTGTGCGAGCGTGATACTTCTCAGGCCGATGATGTTGCAGATTGCGGTCATAATACGCTGCATGGTACTAATACGCACTTGTAATGTTAAAATCTGTACGAATTATGGGTCCTTATATATGAAATTGACTTTTGTATGGGAGGAATATAATTTTTTTTTGAAAAATATATTTAAATAATCTAAGTATGCACCGTTGTTATTTATCCACTTTTGCCATCTCATAAGTAGTTCTTTGATCCCTTTATTAAAAAAAACATGGGGGGCGAGATCAATAAACTCTTTGAAGGCGGTTTGGACTGCCGTATCGGAGTTGAATTTTTTTCCTTGTAAGAAGTTGTCCAAATTCCGGAAAAAGGGTAATCTGTTGAAACAAGGTCCGGGGATTACGGTGGATGTCGCAGACATTCAAATTGTAGCTCATCTAACTTAGTGATTGTTTGTTGTGCAGTGTGTGGTCTTGCGTTGTCGTGAAGTAGCAGTGGCCTAGAGCGATTGAACAATCTGGGTTTTTTAGCAGCTAGTTCTTCTTTCATGGTTTGCAGTTGCTGACAATAGATATCTGCCGTAATCGTTAGGCCAGATTTTTGAAAGCTGTAGTGAACGACACCTGCGCTAGTCCACCAAACACTCACAAGTAACTTTTTCTGAGTCAATTTTCGTTTAGGGCAGGATTTGGCTGGTATCCAGGGTTCAGCCATTGCGACGAGCGCTTCCGATTATCGTACAGTATCCACTTTTCGTCACAAGTAATGATTCCATTTAAAATCCCTTCATTTTTGTGTCGTTTGAGCAAAGTAACACAGCAGTCGACACATGTTTGCAAGTTCGATTCACTCAATTCATGAGATACCCATCGTTCAAGCTTTTTTACTTTCCCGATTTGCTTCAAGTGGATTAATACAGTTTTATCAATTACCCCGAAGCCAGCAGCTATCTCTAAAGTGGTTTGTGATGGATCCACTACCATAATAGCCTTTAATTCTTCATTTACCAATTTGGTCTCCGGCCGTCCACGGAGTTGGTTCTGAAGGTCAAATTTTCCAGAACGAAAACGTTGAAACCAAAAACGTACCGTGCTTTCTTTTACGACACCAGCGCCGTACACATCATTTATCCTTCGAACTGTTTCTGCAGCACTGGTGCCACGGTAAAACTCGTACGCATAAATATACCGATATTTCATGTTTTCCATTGTGCGGTTATAAGCGACGCCAAAGAAAAAAATAATGAGGAAAAAACAAGTGAATGACTGTTTTCAAAACTCAAATGTACCTGATAAATGAATTTATAAATTTGAATTTGGAATTCTTAACCAAAGAGGAGATATTTCATATCAAAGTGGTCAGTATGACAAAACGCTAATTTCATATGTAGGGCTGGACTCAATAAATAAAATTGAAGTGTCTGTTTGTAATATCAAAATAACATATTTTTACCAAATCCTTATGAAAGTATATAAGGTATGTACTTATAACAAAAAAAAATTCAAAAATGTTTTTCTGACTAACTGTCGGTCTGTCAGCCAGCCTGTTTGTTCCGGCTAATCTCCGAAGTTGTTGAACCGATTTTGACGGGACTTTAACTGGCAGATAGCTGATGTTATAACGAGTAACTTAGGCTACTTTTATTTTAGACAGACAATAAGGGTTCCGCGCAACAAGTCAGCACCCAAGAAATCCGATAGTAATAAATTCCACGCTACAGCTTCTACGGAACTGCTAGTTACAAAATAAATATAATTAATATTTCGATGTGGAAAGCTAGATAGATTCCTAGCTTGTTATTATGTGCCTAAACTTTTTTTACAAATGATTTTAGATGATTTCACAAAAAAGGAGTAGGTTGACATTTCGACTGTATTTTCTTTTTTGTATATTTATTTTGCGCAATATCTTTTCATACTTCAGGGGCGGTCAAATAGGGAAAAAGGAGATAGTGTTTGTAATGTAAATTTTTAGACGACTTTGTACTTGTTGCCTTGAACTTGTGATACTTCTCAGACCACTTGAAAGGGTAAAATTTTTATATGTGGTAGAGCAACGCTTCAGCTATATTATGGTTGTAGCACGAATGTGTCGGTTCGACCGGGGAAGGACCAAGCTGTCACAGAATACCAGCGTAAAATAGCATCTTAATATGGTGAGTGTTGAGATCCGGAGACTCTTTTTTAATGAAAACGACGCGTTCCATCTTAGTCCTCAGGGGTGACAACGCATCTGCATTTTGATTTTTAAACGAGGATAAATATAGATGCCTATGGACCACAGCATCCACTTACCATCAGGTGGACTTTGTGCTCGATTGTCACCCTTATGCTATAAAAAATATTAAATTTTTAATAAAATGTACAAATCGAGTTCAAAATAAACGAAACATTCGGAAGTTCCAAATATTTTGGAAGTTTCTAGGTTCTAGGTCTCCTTTTAATCTATGAATCCGTCTGGGTAGATATCACGTTGTTATTTATATCTGCCGCCAAACAGGAGTCGTTACTCTGCTGTGTACTGTGGTCTAAAAAGCACAGGCTATCCATGTTAATCTTAGCCATATTATCTTAAGCAAACATATCGACATTATCTATGTATGGTAGAGCAACCAACCATTTTATGGTTGTTTTTTTATAGAATAGGGGGCAAACGAGCATGCGGCTCACCTGATGTTAAGTGACTACCGCCGCCCATGATCAACCGCAACACTAGGGGAATTGCAGGTGCTTTGCCGGCCCTTTAGAAAGGAGTAAGCTCTTTTCTTGAAGGCCCCCAGGCACGAATGGGTCGGCTCAACCGGGGTGGGACCAAGCTCTCACAGAATAACAGCGTAAAATAGCAGCTTAGTGCTGCTGCGTTTCGTATGGTGAGTGTGGAGTACTGAAGATCCGTTTTGCTGGAATCGAGGCATTCCATCTTAGTCCTCAGGGGTGACAACGCATGTGCATTTTGATTCTTAATCGAGAATAAATGTAGATGTCTACGGGCTACAGTATCCACTTACCATCAGGACCGCGTGCTCGTTTGTCACTCTTATTCTATAAAATAAAGTAAATATCATTCAATAGCATTCCATTTTATTCTTCAACGGCAACAACACATCTGTAACCTTTTTATGCTGGCCCCGACCGTCGCAAGACTGCAGTAGGCATGCACCATATTATATACTATAAGTTCGTTTTTCACTTCAGTTGTAAAAAAGACGTCAGTGTGGTCGAAATTAACGGTAATTAATAATTTAATTGCGAAATTTCTCCTTTTTCAGTAACGTTCGAAAGGAGGTCATAACACCCGGTGTAAGCGGTGTATTCAGGCAGGTACGTATGGAAGGTATTGTTTCTTGGAGTGTTCAAAGTTACTAATGGTCGCTATACACTGTCAGTTCAACTAATCATTTTAAACTAAAACTGTCCAAATTTTTTAGAATATTGGATTTTCGATATATCGATAAATAAACTTATATATAAAACTCCGATATTGATATATATTATCGATATATCGAAAATTCAATCTTTAAAAAAAAATATCAACAGTTTTAGTTTGAACTGATCAGTTGAACTGACCGTGTGTGGCGTCCCTAACAATAATACACGCATCTTTAGTTTTCTCACTATTTGCTTTCCTTTTCCTTATTAACAACGAGCATATTGTTTTTACACTCCAGGTATGTTTTTTTTTCTTTTTTTATGAATCACTTGTAAGTTATACCCACTAAGATCTATTATACCTACTAATACTTACTAATAAATATATATTTTCGTAGTTGTTATAACCAGACAAAACAAATGCAGATAGATATCTCGGTAACAAAGTATTAATTTTTAGAACTACCTGTACCTGTGTACTTTATTCGCATAGAAACTTTTTCTTCGGTTGTTTTAAAGCCGAGTAAATTGATAAATTACTCGGTTTAACTTACTGTTCCGATTTCAATTAAATACGACCATTTTTGGCAAATGAATTTATTTGCCTAAAATGTTCGTTTTCCTTCTTTTTTACTTTTTCCTTTCTATTCTTCTTATTATTTTCAAAGATGTTAAAAAACAATCATTTGAAATTTATGATTCCAAAACCAAGGGTTCTACACAATAATTTAAACCTATTTGAAAACCTTTGTAATATTGATATGTCAAAACGCCTCTTTTTAGCAAGCATTGCTTGGACATAACATTTTATTAAAAAATAAGTCGGCATTGCTGGTACGGGATTACGCCACGGTGAGTTCATCAGGTGGAAAGCAACTCGGGAGGTTCAAGCCCTGAGCGTTCTTTACAGCCGTTGCAAAGCATATATCCACCAACACATGAATACATTTAATCCGCAACACGTATTTATAATGCGGATTATTATGATTTCTGCTAGTAATTGTGGGATAAATATACACCTTTCACCTGTACCAGAGTTATTCCCTGCATCGACCAAGTTCTTTTAACCTCAAAAGGTTTTAATGCAAAAAATTACCAGCGAAAAGTAATATTTTTCGTAAACGTTAAAAATAATTCTACGAAGTAATCCAGGCGACAAGACATTTAGAAAACAATTTTTCCAGATCTATCGCTTTCTTGTTGTGCCCGAATGACAGAACTAGATAACCGAGAAAGAAAACTGCAGCTCGGACTGATTAAGTTACCTACGTATGAAAAATTTAGAGAATCATCCTTTGCATTTTTCGATCAATTTTTTCCTGTATTTTCTTCTAAAAATTGACCGATATTAATTATTTTTCCAAAACCAATTCCAAATACGAAGGATTATGGCTTTCCGTATGTTTTTCTTTTATTCTTGTATGCGCTGATTTTTTTTGCTGGAGATTTGGATGGCAGTATAAATGTGTAATTTTAGTAATTTTAAAGAGTTCCTAGTTCATATTATAATGGAAAACAACAAAACAAAGGAACATGTCGTTTTTTTTACATTATACTTTAGAATACCAATATAACTTATTATTGTGCAAGAACTTCCTTGTTATTGTGTAAGTAGTTAAAGTCGAAATTTAAATAATAATAGTCGTTGCTAAAAAAAAACGCTGCAATAAGCTTGATGGCGTATCGCCCTCGTAATCGTAGATAAAAAAATATGTAGCAAGCTATTCGGAATGCTATGGAGTGTAGAGGTAAGGAGTACAGACTGTGTATTAAAAAGTGTTCGTAGAAAACCGTTAAATAATAATCATGTCTTCCTGACCGAATTCCGGCCACGGCGGCTTGCCTCAACGGAGGCTAGCCATCGGCGCAGGACAGGATTATAGTGCCCAAGTGTATGCTCAAGCACAGGTGCACTCTCTATTCCCTCACTCTCTTAATCCGATGGGACGGTAAACCGACACGACGGAGAGAGATCAGGCGCAGGACCAACGGCTTTACGTGCTTTCCGAGGCACGGGGGTGAGACACCGGCAACTTCCCGACTCCGGGCAGCTACTGAGAATTTCTTGACAGAAAAACTCAATAATTGATTTTTTTTTCGACCTGGGATTCGAACCCAGGACTTCACGATCAGCAGGCGCACTACTACAACCACTAGACCAACGATGCAATCAAAAAAAGGTAGCGCCACTAATAGCTACGGGGTAAATTTTAAAGAACGCGCCGAAAAATATTAGTGGCATAGACGACTTTATTCGAGGTGATATTTACTTTATAAAACAATTTTAGATTTTAGAGCTACTGACCAGTTTAGTAGCACACTTCAACCGTCGACAACTGCTAAGTTCATTTCATGTTGCTGGTTCCTCTAGCTACTCCAGCACTGTTGTGGAGAGTTTTTGAACTGTTATTTATTGCTTACAGTTGGACACTTTTTCAACTATTCTCCTATGAGAGATCATTCACCTTACCTCTACACTCCATACGGAATGCCTTGAGCCTTGACACCTTGACAGCCATTGGGATGAGCGATATTTGATACCGATTTAATTAACCGAAAGATCGACACTTCATTGATTACAAAGCGGCGATTAAAAACTTGTCAATTACTTCAACATCGGTGCCATAGAGCCTCTACACTCCATAATCGGCGCCTTCTGAAAATTTTCAGAGGCTGACCTGTTTGCTACTAATATGAAAAATAATAATTTTTTTTAATAGGCTGATACGTTTTCCATTTTCCCATGTTAATATTTTTGATATCAATAGACGAAAATCAATTGAAATGTTGATTAAAATTAAATAAGTAAATTTAATAAATATTTTTTCCTTAAGAACTTTATTAATTTTATTTATTGGATAATTTTATCGTTCAAATTCACCGAGAATACAGCATTTCGCACATTGTAGCATCTAGCTAGATCTATTTTAACGAAACGCCTAGAACTTTTCTTCTATTAATCGATTGGTCGATATAGTGATTGCCATTGATCGATTAATTGATATCGACCCAATTGAAATAACCGATTATCAGATAATCAATTATTTTGATTTATCGGCGATTCGAATATATCGGCGTGCATAGTGTGATATAGCGTATTATCGCATTACCACAACGTAGTTGCTGTCAGTGTAGGTATGCCCACATGTAGGAAAAGTAGCCCAAAGTATCCCGTAGTGTACCGTCCCACCATTGGGCGTCTTTATGACCTTAAACTTTTATTAGGTTTGCCACTCAGAAAGTTATACAAAACTAAAAAAAGTTTTAGGTATGTTTAGAGTTTTAGTTATTAGGGATAGCAGGGGTAAGCGGTTCACATACAAAATAAAACTGAATTTTTAAAATAAATGTTTTATTTTAAATTTACGAAAAAGTAACAAAGGCTTAACTAATTATTGATACACATACTAACATAAAAATAACAGAAATACAGGTTTGAGCGCAACTGCTCCTTACTATGAGTAATACCGCTCAGGTTTGAGGGTTATCACGCTCATACTGGTTTGAATGTAACAAGTAAGATAAATTTTCAGTGGTCAAATACATTTCACCGTAAATTACTAAAGCAAAGGCCAATAATCATACAAAGCACGATTTTTCCTCAGAAGTATCAGAAATTAATATTAAGCCCATAAATCGCTATAGATAGATAAATATATCCTTATGTAAACTACAATCCAGAGCACATTGCACGAAATCACAGTGTGCATTTGGTACAGAGATACCATATTTTATTATTTCGTTGAAAAATTCGCGAAGATTGCATTTGTTATCGTTTTCACCATCCACGTCTATTTTATTATTACAGTCAAATGTCAAACATCTAAATACGAATGTAATTTTAAATAGGGAGGAGCTGACTCTTGTCGATCCGATACCACCATTGATCTTGGAATCGCTCTAGACGCAAAGCTTCAATTGTGCCCACATATATCAAAACTAGCAAACAGACTCAGTTCTGCACCATATGCTGTAAAAAGATTGGGAATCTTACCAGTGTTGAAACAGCTAGATCAGTTCACTTTAGCTATTTCCATAGCATAATGTCGTATGGTATTTTGTTATGGGAAGACGCGACTGGTACTGAAGTTATATTTGTTTTACAGAAGAGGGTCATAAGAGCTAGCTTTGAATTAAAACCTAAAGATTCGCTCTGATAAAAAGTTAAGGAAATTAATATATTAACTTTGACCTCTCAATACATTTATGGAAAAGTAATGCACGTGTACATGCACAACAATAAAAGTAGTATTATAGTAAAATAAGTGATATTTATTCTGTAAATAACAACGACAGACTCAAGCGCACCAGTTACTCGACTCCACCGATTAAGTAATTTATTCTTAGGGCGATGTAAGTATACGCTTTACATTAAAATTCCAGAAAATATGCAAAATTTGACCTGCATAAAGTACAAAAACCTTAAAAGTTTTTATAAAAAGGGTTATTACTATATTAAGGCATATAAGGCAATATACCCCCATGAAAAATTACACAAATAGACGGCCCCCAATTCCCGGCGGCCCCGCTATTCCTGGCTACGGTGGCAACCATGGAAACGGCGGGGTAGGGGGTGCTAAGAATCTCCGGTGGAGGTTCGGTTGCCACCTACGACGACTCGACCTGTCAACATTTAATGCACACACCCTGAAGACTGACGAGAAGATCCTGGAGCTGGAAGAAGAGATAGACAAGTTGCGCTGGAATATTATATGAATTTCCGAGGTTCGAAGAGAGTGGGAGGACACGGTGATTCTCGAATCCGGCAACTTGTTATATCACCGGGAGGGCGACCATCTGTCCCAAGGAGGTGTCGGATTTATCGTCCACAAGTCTATCGTCAACAACGTTGTAAAGATTGGGAGTGTGTCGACGAGGGTCGCGTACTTGATACTCAGAGTCACCAAACGGTATTCGCTGAAGGTCATACAGGTTTACGCACCAACCTCGGC